GATCTTTTATATAGAAATTTTTGTTGAGATGTTCTTCAAGTTTCTGATAGCAACTTCATCATTTCCTGTGATCAGGATATCATCAACATATATAATCAAGGCAATGAAGGAATTACCTCTACACCTTGAAAAGAATGCATAATCATGTTTTGATTGGAGAAAACCAATGCTTGTAAGTGCCTTTGTGAATTTTTCATTACGCTGTCTAGACGCCTATTTTAATCCATATAAGGACTTTCGTAGACTACATATAGTATTCTCCCCCTATCATTAAAGTCCTGAAGGAAAATCCATGTAAATTTCTTCATTACGGTCACCACGAAAGAACACATTATGAACATCCATCTGATGTAAGGACTAATCGCGTGCAGATGCAATTGAGAGAAAAGTCCAAACTATGAAAAGTTTCACAACAGGAGAAAATTAGGTCTCTTGGTAATCAAACCCTTCACATTGAGTGAAGCCTTTAACAACTAACTGGGCTTTGTATCGTTCAATAGACTTATCAAAACGGTACTTGATCTTGTATATTGGGTGTGAAGGACGAGGCACGAGCTCCCAAGTATTATTATAGGCAAGGGCATTAAGTTCATCAGCCATTGCTTGTCTCCATTGATTATGTGAGACAGCCTTAGAATAACAAGGTGGTTCCCGATCAGTAGAAATGTGACTGACACAATTTCTAAGTGTAGGGGGTAATCATCATAATTGACATAATTTGATATAGGGTAAGGGATACCTAATGCTTGTATAGTGGGACAGTCATAATCAGTTGTCCAAATTGGTGGCCTTGTTTGACGAGAAGATCGTCATGCATGAGAGTTCGGGATCAAGTCTGGGGATGTCTATGGAGCTTCTAGGGTGGTATTGGTAAGAGGAGACTCTGATGGAGGTATGCTAGATTGGGGAGATGTTATGTGTATGGGAGATTCTGGAGCTATTGGTAGTACATGTAATAGGTGTAGGAATGATGGCAAAATTTGGATCTATGGTAAAAGGACCATCTTCAAGAACTCTAGGTGATTGTGTTTGTTCAGTGTATGGAACAATTCCTTTATATGGAAAATTGTCTTCATGGAAAATAACATCTCGAGAAACTAGGAATTTTTGAGTTACAGGATTATAAAGACGATATCCTTTTTGTAGCATAGGATATCCCATGAAGATGCATGAGTAGCTCGAGGCCCAAATTTGTCATTGGACCCAACAAACTTGGAGTAACATAAGCAGCCAAACACACGACAATGGCTAAGATCTGGTGTCTTTCCAAACAGAATCTCAAAGGGCGTCTTACCATGAAGCACTTTAAATGGCATACGATTAATCAAGTTAGTAGTTGTGACCACACATTCGCCTCAAAAGGAAAAATGTATGTTGGCTTGATGTTTAAGGGCACGGGCTACTCCTAATAAGTGTCAATGTTTCCTTTCAACTACTCCATTTTTTTTAGGATTATATGTACAGGAACTCTTATGTAAAATGCTAAGAGATAAAAGGAGTGAGAAGTCATTCTGATTAAAAAATTCTTTTGCATTATCAAAACGAATCCTTTGGACAGAAGTATGAAATTGGGTAGTGACCATGGCTAGGAAATTCCTAATGTAAGTTGTGGTTTGGGCTTTGTTTTGCATGAGCAAGACCCATGTGCCACGAGAAAAATCATCGACAATAATAAGGAATACCAAGCACCATCATGATTTGGTGTATGATATGGACCCCAAATGTCAACGTGTATGAGTGCAAAAGGACGAATTGTAGCAGTGGCGCTAATGGGAAATGTGTTTTGGGATTGTTTGGCTAAAGGATAAATTGGACATTTTGGTTGGGGAATGGAAGCATTATGACCCAGTCATTGATGTAAAATTAAAGGACTCTTATTAATATTTGTATTGCAAGAAATTTTAATTTGTGTAATACAATTTGATGATTCAAAAAAAAAAATAGTAGAAGAGACATTAGGAGTCCAATAATAAAGACCGTTATCGACTCTACCCAAGCCCATTAGTTTCCAAGCCGAAGGGTCCTAAAATTCACATTTGGTAGGTAGGAAATGTAAACGGCAGTTATTATCCTAACAGAGTTTAGACACGGAAATTAGATTGAAATGAAATGTCAGAACACATAATATATTTTTAAGTACTAAAAATTTGGTTAAGTGAACAATGCCTATGTGGCTGGCAGGGGCAATACTACCATTTGGCATACAGATTGTAGTGCTGGTGGTATTGATAGTATGGGTATGGAAAAAATTAGGATTACAAATTATGTGGTCACTAGATCCTAAATCAATTATCTAGACATCATTTTAATAAAATTAAGACAGAAAGATGTACCTAAGTAGGATGATGTTGATGTTTGTGAGGTGTTATTAAGCATTTGCAAGAGCTAACTGTATTGTTCTGGGCTAATCATAGGCACTAGAACAAAATCTCCTAAAAAATCGCTAGATACTTGATGGACTAAAGTGTTGCCATTTTTTCCATTAGTGGGATCCCGATTGTGATTTGGGCGTTTACAACAGTCACAGTACATTTTGGACTTGCCTGATTTTGAAGATCCAGACCCATGATACCCATTAGACCAATTTGCTGATAAAGACCTGGGCCCATTATAGCCATGTGACCATTTGTTGAATGTGGGTTGGTGCTGGTGTAGGTGTTAAAGGATGCAATTTGGCCTGGCCCATTAGCACATTTTGACCCATTTGACTCTTGAGTAGTTTGTGAGCCATTGGATGATTGGAACAAATCTTGGCCATTCAATTGCCCATATAAAAAATCACCTTTTCCATTTTGCAACCCTATTCATTTGAGAAAGTCTGTGGTTGAGAGAAAATTGTGAGGGAGTGGTTGTAAGCAAGTGTCGGCAAGGGCCAAGGCCTCTCTTTGGCGAGAGCCATCTAGAACCACCTATCGTTGCCTTTCTTCTTGGACAGCCAATTGGAAAGTCCGGCGAAGAGAGGGTGGCAGACTGAAGGCAAGAATCTGGGTGCGAAAAGAGAGATAGGCATCGTTAAGGCCCAATAGGAACTTGTTGAGGCGTTTTTAATCACAAATCCTGTGATATTGCTGGAGAGTTTTTGGCGGCCCAAGGAGTGTCTCTTCAGTGGCATCCAAAGCATTCCAAACGGCACTTAGCCGATTGAAATATGTAGGGGTGAGCAAAGGTAGTGAGTAGAACGGGAACTTGCTGGTAGAATCGAAACCTACTCGCATAGTGTAGGCTCCGGTTCCATTTTTTTGGAACCGACATTGTGCGGTTCTGGTTCTGGTTGCCACAAGTTCCGAAACAAGAACCTGGGAAAAGAACCTGAAATGGGTACCCGGCTTGGAACTTGTTTGTGTTTGAGTTTTGATTGAGAAATTTTATGTGAATTGTGATGAATTGATTGAATTCAAGTATTGTCTAGAGATTAAAGGATTTATGAGTCACATTCGACACAAATGAACTAATAATCAAAAGTTGAAAACTACTAAATGTAGTGTATTTGTAAACTTTTAAGGTATTTTTATCATTTTTTAAACTAATAAAGGGTAATTAACTTTTATAGGGTACTCAGGTAAGGAACCAAAACCTGCATTTCGAGTTCCCGTTCCTTGAATTTAAGAACCGAAACCTGTCAGTTTCGATTCTAGTTCTTTTTTTTTTCCACCCAAATAATGGACTAATTGACACTTTCCCACCAAAACGTTTCAGAATCCAACTTTGTTATCCAAACATTATATTTCATTAATAATTTCCATTAAATACAGTGAAATTCATTATGAAGATAAAAATACCCCCACTCAAGACGAGCTCCCAATCATCGGCCACCGCAAATCAAAGTTTCGCACACCTTAGCCCAAATTCTAGCCAATTTCGGCACCAAAAATTGACCTCTTCACCACCATTCTACTCACTAAAATCCCTCCAGCAAAACCCATCTCATCACCCCAACCCACCCACCCCCCCAAACAATCACTCCTCAATTGCCGATGGCTACAAAAGGAGGGGAAAAAAAAAATCTGGAGGTGGTGACGGCAAAGTAACTGCACGCTGAGGTGCTCTAGGAGGGATCACGCGCATTGGTCACCAAAATCAATCGAAATTTGTCTTAGAAAAGCAAAACCCTAACTGTGCGGTGATAAACAAACAGTGGGTGGTGAGTATCATCCTACTCTTACTTATAACGGACTTTTGATCACCCTATCCTTCTTCACAATGAAATTTACTGACGAAATTATACTTTTAAGTAGTAAAATTGTATTTATAACATTTTAGATCGAAAAGTGTCATTAGACCATTATTTACGTGTGAAAAGGTTGTTTACTCTAACATGGAAACCCACTTTTGTCTTCATGACATTAAAACTCAATAAGAATTTCAATTTGTAACCAAAGTTAAAAGAAAAATTTATTGATAAACCAAATTCTAGTTTGTAACATTTGATCAGAAGCCCCAAATTACAGTTTACAACCTCTGGTTTAGATTTGTTAACTATAATCTGCACAACTCCTCCCATAAACCAAATTCTAGTTTGTAACATTTGATCAAAAGACACTCTTGAACGTTCTAATCCTAATTCTAATCTTTAGAATCATGCTCAAATATAAACGATCACATAATAGTAAAAATAAACAATAGAAGCAATTTCAATAAGTTCCCAAAAGTCAAGTTTCATATCATAAATTAAAATGTAACAACCCAAGGACCACTTTATGAAACAAAATCTTCAAAAGTTTGAAGAATGTATATGAATGAAATTATAGATGCAACATTTGATGAAGAAAAAAATAATGTAAAATCCGGCAAGAAAGAGCACATGCAGAGGTAACATTGCAGCATCCAGCTAAGGCCACCTTCCTCTCTAGTAAGTTCTTTTTGTCTTTTCTTTTTTTCCTTCTTTTTTTTCCTGGATTTTGTCTTTTCTTTTTTTTTCCTTCTTTTTTTACTTTTTTCTTTTTTTTTCCTGGATTTTTTTTTTCCCTTTTTTTTTTTTTTTTTTTTTTTTTTTTTTTGGGGGGGTGTGGGGGAACTTTGTATCTGAAATCAGCTTCCATCATGCAAGGCAAAACCACTATATTCAAAATGACCTCAAAACCCTCTCGACCGATTCTTTACCATTTGCCAACTCTACTAATTTGTATTTCCGGCTGAATTAGAGCGATCGAAACCCCCTTGAAGGCTGACTTGACCTATCCCTGCACTCAAATCCCCAGACGGCGACCTGCTTATTGAAGTATTATTGTGGTTAGCAGTCTTTTGCTCCAATGAAATATTTCGAAAGTTAGAAGCCAATTTATCTTGACTAGACTTTCCGCTTGGAACGCTAGAAAAATGACCTGGAGGTATTATCCAACGCATCCAATCGTTTCGTTTCCTTATTTTGTCACCCTAAAATGAAAAATATAAATATAAGTAGATATAAATCATAAAAAATTATAACTTCAGCAAATAAAAAATATATATAAGTAGATATGAATCATGAAAAATTTTTAACTTTAGAGGGTGACTATTAGCAATGTAATGTACACATATACTACTAGATGGTGCACAAATACTGATGCAATGTATGTCCAACCACACAATGTGTACTACAACAATAGATATTTGGGGTAGCAAGTTTTGGTTTTTGAGGATGTTAGAAAGTGTGCTCTTTTCACACAGTGGAAACCTATTGATCATTAACCTATATTAAGTACTCTCCCTACTTTTATCTCTCTAAAATTGACATCTTCATCGATAATAAGTTGATGTCACAAGCAATGATGACAACCGCTCCCACATGCCAAGTGCAAAACTTTAACCAATGACGAAAACTTCTCCACATTATAAGTATTTTACACTAGTAGTATAACAATATAAACATGTATTGTCGACTTTTACGTATTTTAGGGTCAAGCGGTGTGAAAGTCACATTTTTGTGATGGGATCAGTGAAGCAACAGAAGAAAGGAACTTTTGATAATGAAAAGACACAATTACATTATTCGAAGAGATACCTGTACTTCTACAACAGTTGAACTTCGCAACGCATCCAAAATCAGTTGGATATTATCAGTTAACAGTGAAACCTGAAAAGAGATTTTTGCATTAATTTTTTAAAAGAAAAATACTCAACCGGAATTGCAACACCATTGATGCATCCAAAGATAAATAATTCATTTTTAGACTCATTAGGGAAAAAACACCAGTATTCAAGTACAAAATCCAAAATAAAGAGCAAAGGGTAGAAATTTGATGAGGATGACAAAAGAAACCAATGTATCAACTGACAAAACAAAGCCTAGCCAAGATGTTAAGCAGGACATAATACATTGAAGCATAATGTAATACTAAATGCAACAAAATATCAGAAAATTGATGGTTTTTATCAGAAACAAAAGAATGTTACGCTCAAAACCTGATCTAAGAAAGAGATAAATTAGACTATTCACCTAGCAATATGTGTGTGCATTATATATATATCAGTGGATTTATGGTTTTAATTAGAAACAAAAGAATGTAGCATTGACACATTAGCTCAAAACCAGATCTAAGAAACAGATAAATTAGTTTAATCAGTTAATTTTATATGTCTGTGTGTCCAAGCGACGCATGTATATGTAAATGTATATATGTAACAAAACATCAATACATTTATGGTTTTGATTAGGAAAAAAAGATGTTGCATTGCCAAAATTAAGCTCAAAACCAGATTTAAGAAAGAGAAATATTGGTTTAATTAATTTTATTACAACAAAAAGGTTTATACACACACACACACACACATTATATATTTATGTGTGTGTGAGTGTGATACAGGTAGCCCTTAGGGAATTAATTAGGTAGTCACAGTGGAAACCTTAACGCAGAATATAAGGACATTAAAATTGCAAACATAAATAAAGGCAAAGAAAAATACAAATCAAGGTTACATGTCACAGGATTCATAAATCATGAGTCATTGATGCATCACTAAGCCAAATGCCCATGTGTTTGGTGGACTACTTAATGTCAGTTCCCAGTGTTGAAGCAGCAGTAATAGCACAATTCGAACCACTGCAGCAGCATTAAAGTCATAGTATATCTAGGCTAACAGCACAAACTACCAGTCAACGTTATGAGACAATATTAATTTCATGAAACTGAAACACCCAGATCAATTAAAAATACAACCACTTATGAATCAAAGTTACTTTTTTACTGAATTTCTTGATTATCCGGCAAACTGAATCAATTCAGTAAAGCTTGGAACAGAAATAAGAAATTCAGGCATATCATCCAAGACATTCGAAACTGACCATGTTATTCATCCAGTAAGAAAGGGAGAATGAGCATGTATTGACAGAATACTAAGCACCAAATGAAAAGATTGAATTAAAAGACAAATACTATCACCAGAAGAAAGTAGTTCCTGCATTAAGTCATAGCACTAGGGAAGAAAAAGGGAGCGAAAGTATGTGATAGCCAATAACGCGACAGTTTAGATAAGCCCTAAGTTTAGGATACTATTAGAATCCCCGAGCAGTTCAACCTTTGCACACAATCTATTATGTGAGAATAGAAGTTTATGAGACTGACATGGTATTAATCTTAGGTATCTTATAATACAGAAGATTTCAAAATTAAGAAAATGCATACAATTATATGTCAAACTTAATAAGGCTCTGAACAACTGTGGAATAACAAGTTATTAAATAAGTTCACCCAATCACTTTTTCGAAAATCAATGTAACCCTTTGCCTTCACATTCATATTACAATAATCAAACCAATACAAACTCAATAACAGAAAAGGGGGCTGCTTAGGGGTGGCACTTGTAGGTTCAGTTTCGTTTTTTATTTCTTAACCGAATAAAAACGATTGAGGAGTAAAAACTGAACCGAACGGTCATGTTTGGGTCAGATCAGTTCGGATCGGTTTTTCGGATTGAGTTTGAAAAACAAGAAAGAAGAACAAAAATTAATTTCATGAAAAGGTGAAAAACTACAAAAAAAAAAAAAAAAAAAAAAAAAATTCAAACAAAGTTTAAACAAAACAAAAAAAAAAAAGTACTCGAAAGTTGAAAGCTTAAATGGCCCAACGGATCCCATTTCTGCTTGAAAGTTTCTTTCTCCAAATGATAAAAGACGATAAAAAAAAAAAAGAGAAAGAAAGAAAGAAACTTTTCTGCCTGAAAGTCTGTCTTCTGCAAATGATTAAGTCGATTCAGAATAAAAAAAAAAAAAAAAATTTATAGCAGAATCTAGAAAAGAGAGGTGCTTGGAAGCTTGGACTAGTAATGGAAATTTTCGGGTTTTTTATTTTAACCCGAAACCCACCCGATCAAATCTGGTTTTTCTATATAATAATCGATCGATTATTTTATAATACAATAATCGATCTGAACCGACCAACCCAGGTCATGGGTCTTTGGTTTATGTGCCCACCCCTAGGCTGCTTACATACTTTACACCTAAGAGAAGGCAAAAAAATAAATTATGATAACCCATAATATCATGGCCCATAAAAAATAGTGTACAGAGTAGCAAACATCGACCATATAAAATTGATAAATGGAAATATATAGTGTGTATGTACAATCTCCATGTTGAGCTTAAATTACATAAGAGACTGAGAGTAGAAGCTTATGAAACTGACACAGGATTGGTATTAGGTATCTTAAAAGAGAGAAGACTTTACAATTCTATATGGCTAACTTAATAAGGTATGGATGCCCAACAGATGTGGCTTAACCATTTTCTCAAAATTCAATGTAACCCTTTGCCTTAACATTCATATGACAATAATCCAACCAATACAAACTCAATAACAGAAAAAAGGGGGCTGCTTGCATACTTTACACTATAGAGGAGGCAAAAGGAAAATTATGATAACCCACAATATCATGGTCCATAAAAATAGTGTATAAAGTGCGAAATATAGAGCATATAAAACTGATACAAGGAATATCATATATAACTTAAAAATAGTGTACATATACAATCTCCATGCTGAACTTAAATTAATTATAAGGCTAACTTAATAAGGCATGGATATTACTAATGAATAATTAAACCTGCATCAAAAAATAGATAGACTACCCAATAGATGTGGCCAAGTGCCCAAGAATAATAAGTTTATTAAATAAGTTTATCCCACCATTTTCTTGAAATTCAATTAAACCCTTTGCCTTCACATTGATATGACAATAATCCAACCAATACAAATTCAATAACAGAAAAAAGAGGGGCTCCTATCATAGTATACATTATAGAGAAGGCAAAAGGAAAAATACGATAATCCACAAAATCATGGTCCATAAAAATAGTGTATACAGTACAAAACATGAGCATATAAAACTGATACAAGGAAATATCATATATAACATTACTTAACAATAGTGTAAATATAAAATCTCCGTGTTAAGTTTAAATTAAGTGAGCAAAAGTTTATGAAACTTACACAGTATTAGTCTTAAGTATCTTATAATGCAGAAGACTTCACAATTAAGAAAATAGATACAATTATATGACCAACTTAATAAGGCATGGACATTACTATTGAAATTAAGCCTGTGTCTAAAAATGGATAGACTACCCAGCAGATGTGGCTAACTGTTCTCAGAATAACAAGGTCATTAAATAAGTTTATCCCACCATTTTCTCAAAATTCAATGAAACCCTTTGCCTTCACATTCATATGAAACAATCCAACCAATACAAATTCAATAATAGAAATAAAGAGGGCTGCTTGCATACTTTACACTTAAGAGGAAGCAAAAGGGAAATTATGATAATCCACAATATCATGGTCATCAAAAATAGCACACACGGTACCCAACATAGAGCTTATAAAACTAATCTAGGAAATTATCATATTAGCTTGATCTCTGAAATTAAATAACACTTAATGGGGTGATGGCCAATGCACTAACAAATTGTTTGTAATGATAAAACTAAAAACAGAACCTTCGCATTCATAGGGCAATAAACTATTAAATTAACAAAACAAAACAAAAAAAAGTTCTACATGTAAAATACAAACTATTGACTCACCAAGCACAGAACCAAAGATGGAACACGTGAGATAATGCAAGGAAATATCAAAAAAAGACTACTTATCAACCGAGAGCAACATTACCACTGTGTTTCTATTTTCATTTTTATCACTCATATTTATTAAGAGCCTCAAATGAAACAGTGCCATTCAAAAATAACAATCCATGAGGTGATGCCAACCCATGCATGAATAAACTGATTGTAATAATGAAGCTGTGAGCAGAAGACCACAGAAAATCACATTTAAGAAAAACAATCAGAGTACCCCCAAACAACTTACTTTCTTGAAGCCTGCGATTAATGTAATAGGAACCCAACCCTGGTCATCCATGTTTTGCCGCAAGTATGTATCTCTAATTAAATTCTCGGCACTGCAAAACAAATAGAAGGTAGAACTACAGTTAACACAGAAAATAAACTAACTATAATTATCTATGCTAAAAAGGGAACAATAAATGAATTACCTAAAATAGTAATCTATCTGATTGACTATGCTAGAATGCAAATGAGGGTCCAAAGCAGGGAAAAACACAGCATGTGGTGGAAGAGGTGCAACAAAAGGCACACCCCTAAGTGTCTCTGAATGTGGAGCCGGAACATAATACACAGGCGAAGCCAGCTCTGAGAATAAAGGGCAACATTTTAGCAAACTCCCCACGAACTAAAAACATGGATCATAAAATGTGAAAAACCTTACCAGGAAAGCCAATGGGGCTGCCAAAAGGGCGCACTGGTGGGGGTGGAATAAATTGACTAGAACTCGATGGCGGTGGTGGTGGCGGTGGAGGTGGATGCCTCGTAAACCTTTGCATAACCCTCTGGGGCTGCATGTGGCCATCTCTACCGTTAAAATTTCGGTGAGCATTCCAATCTTGATTTCCACGGTCGTGATCACGTCTACCCCCATAATTGTGATGGTGAGAACCATCTCCACGAGGATGTGAATTACCATTGCGGTTCCTGAATGAACCACGTTGCTGAGAATGATCTCTTGGAGAAGGATTATTTAAGGGACCTTCAACAGCAGGACCCTGTGGGGCTGGTGGATGAGTAAGGCCACCATTTGAAGAAGAATTTGCACCATTACGCTTCATAGATCTTTGGCGTGTCAAGGCTGTATGGCTTGGAGTTGAATTAGGGTTCCCATTATTATTACCTTGTCGCTGGGATGTTGAATTTGCTGTTCCAGTACCCTACAATTATACCAATGAATGTTAGCATCTATTGAACAGCCTCACAATCCCTTAATAGAAAATAAAGACACTAAAGTATCAATTCGATCATATCCAATAATAAGTTAACAGCACATTACGACTCCAAAATATCAATTCAAAAACCCTCTGTCTGATTGCTGAGAAACAAAAGCAGAGGAACTATGTTCATAATCTATTGTCTTCTGTTCTTTGAGTCGAAAAGCCTCGTAATGCATAATAAAACATTAAGACTCTAAAACATCAATTCAATCATATCCCGTAAGAAAAGTTAATAACAAATACGACTCTAAAATATCAACTCAATAACCCTCTGTTTGGTTGCTGAGAAAATAAAAACAGAAGAACTATGTTCATAATCTTTCGTCTAATGTCTTCAAGTCCCACTTAAAACTCAATACACCAAGTTTATATTCCATAATCATAATTTATTTTTCCCTCCCCACACTTTCTCAGCAAGCAAACTAACAAACAAACAAGGCATCTTAATACTCTTTTTTTCTCTATTAATTCCCAATTGAAACAACACTTTTTATTTTCTGCTTCCCACTAAACAATACAATGCAAGATCTAATTCATAAAAATTTAAAAATTCTTATCAAATAATTGACAGCTATACACTTTTAAATTTAACTTAGTAGATTATAAGCTAGGTTCAGCTTCCTATAGTTCTCTCATTACTACCGCTATAACATAAAGCACAAAACAAAAAGAGAACAAAAAAAAAAAAAAAAAAAAAAAGCCACTACTCAAAACCAATTTAAGTTCTTAAGCTCTCACTAAAATTTCTCAGCAACCAAACAGAGAAATCAAACCTGCGAAACCGATGATGATGATGATCCATCAGATAAACCTTTCAACGATTCAGAAGATGACTTTGCTGAAGAGCCCCGAGTAGTTTCCGATAAAGCGGGCCATGCATGAGCCCCCATCACTGGCCCAACATCCGCCGCCCCGTTTGACGGCTTGCTCCACACTGGCTTTTTTCCTGCATTGCCAGTCCCACACTCCGCACTCTCTTCCTCAGTTTTTTCAACCACAGCCACAGCCGTCGGCGACACTGACGGCGATAAAGGAACGGACGCGATCGAATCCGATTCGCCTCGCACGACTTGCGTCCACGGAGGCGAAACTGCAACTGCTTTCGTGCCGCCACCACCGCCGCCGCCACCACCACCACGTGATTGGGTGGGGCTACTCACGCCGTTGTTATTGTTGTTACCTACACTCTCGGTAGACATTGATTGATTTAGGGTTTATTCTGTTGTTGTTTCTGTGTGAGAGTCGACGAGTTGTTGATCGACGATAGAAATTAAGCGGCAAAAAACGGGAAGAAGAAAAAAAAATATTTATATAATGGTAAAAATCGAAAGAATTTCCTGTGGTAAAAAAAAAAAAAGCGAATTTTGATTTATTAAAACAAAAATATAAAAGAGTTCTGAAAATGTGTGTGATTTTCTAGGGTTTTCAAAAAGAATTTCCAGGCGACGCGATCCTGAAGAAAGATCGCAGTGTTTGTTTTGAGACCAGCAATGGTGGCCGCTTGGCTCTCTCTTTTGTTATTTGTATTTTGTGTGTTTGATTTTGATTGCTTAGCTCTTGGGAATTCTGGATGCTCGGGTTTGGTTAGTTGTGTGAATTTACTTAAATACCCCTTGCCCATCTGTTTTATTTCTATTGAAATTCGTATTGTTTATTTCCTCGTCAATCTAAAATTAATAAATTATGTTTTAATTAATTAATTTTGGTCAAATGGCTGATAATTTTCACTTTAAGTTGATTTAAGTGGGATATTTTTATTTTATTCTTTCCAGAACAAAAATATTAAATAAAAAATAGAATTTGACCTAGAAGTTTAATGTTATAAAAAATTTCCACAAACTTTTTGAACGGAAATAACAAAATTCTTTTACCATCCTTATTAGAAGACCTATAATATTACGAGTTAATAAATATTTACGAAGTTGTTTTCCTGTTATTCATCTTTAAATCTAATATTTAGTTTTGTCAAAAATATTTTTTGTTATGTAATCATATTTCAAGGGTGAATTAATTCAAAAAATATATAAAATTAAAAGTAAAAGTCGAATAAACCACAATTAGGTGGTCTGATGGTAAAAGAGTAAAGAAGTCTAATATGAGTCTAACATGGATTCCTGAGTTCCAATGCCTGTAGAAGTCGTATTTGTTGGAGACTGTTCGATATCAGTAGCCAAAACCAATCGGACTTCTACAATAAATATATTGTTTGAAGTTTCAACATTATAAGACTTCTCCAATAATATGGGTAGCCAAAGAAGATAAAGTATTCTTAGAGAATTTAAAAAAAAAAAAAAAAAAAGTGCTTTAAAGAAAATCACTTTTTTTTTTAAAAAAAAATTGTATTTATTTCCTTTTTAAAGATTCTTTTATCCATAAAATCTTTTTCAACTGTCATTCGAATAATTTTCTTTATTCATGAGATAGGATTTTGACGCCTTATCTCACCTATTTCAAGTTCTGAATATTAGTTGTTACTAATGAGATGATTTTGATCTAATAATTTAGATATTATTAATAATATAACTGTATTTATTTTTGTTTTCTGTGCTTTTATTTTCGAAAAACATATATAATATTTATTCCTTCATCAATTTTATTTTCCAAACCAGAAAATGAGAAAACACATAAATTTTAACTGATAACCAAAATAATAATAATAATAATAATAATAACCATCATTAGGCGGTCGAGTGGTTGAATATGAACTTTTAAAGTATTATCAAAAAAATCATGAATTCGATTTACCTCGATTGTTAAAAGGGGTGGCTATTAGAGGTTTATTTAACCGTTAACTTCAGGGTCTCAAGGATTAGTTAAGATATACGTAAGCTAGTCTGGACAATCCGATCACCTAAAAAAATAAATAATAAAAAACAGATATATATAATTAGACTCCCTCCTTTCTTAACTAGCTTTGGCGGATAAATTTTACCCAAGGCCGTTTGAGAAATAAGTATATCCCACCTAATTTTACTCTAAACTCAACCAATTGCAATTGCAATTCCAAGTGGTCAACAATTGTGTGCTGGCACATTTGGTAAATACATCTTAATTATAAATAAAAAGTAAAATAGAATATAGAATATTATAGAAAGGGCCCAATAAAAGTATTTTTGTTTTAAAATAAATTATTGAGTAAACTACAAGTTGTTTTTTGTATTGGTTGTCATGCAAATTTGTTTTCAATTTTGTGGGTATAAATTAAAGTGGCATGAAGCATAAATTAGTTGTCTCACCTTTAAAAGAAATTTTTATCATATTATTTATTTAGCCACCAATAATGGTGTGTGAAAATAAAACAAAGTCAGCCAAATTGGTATTAATTTCTCTGATTTTAGAAAGCATTAAAAGAATTTAAAATTGTTTTTTTCTTTTTTAAACATTTCCAATGTGTTTACTAAATAACTAAAGTACTAAACACAATTCAATAGGCAAAACCCAACAAAATTTATTAAATTTTCATTCAATTATACATCCAAATGTTGATTTTATGTCGATATAAAGAGAATAATATGTATTTAAAAAATGAGGTAAATTTTTTTTTTTTTTTTAAAAAAAGAAATTTTATTAGTGGAATCAGCAATGGTACAAAAAACATCAACCTCAATTTAAAGTACATGGAATTGGGAATCAAATTCCATGGGAGTCCAAAGAGAGAATACATAGGGATATTTCATGAGTTGATGATGATAAAAATTTTGTTTTGGAGACAAAGATTGACAAATAGAAAAAAAGGGTTTTGATTACTGGACAAAATATATTTTTGTGTCTTAAGCATGAATCAAAGTTGTAATTGGTGATGAATGATTTGGTTAATTGGGAAGTGGAGTTGAATTTGTGCAAAGTGGATCACAATGTTCCCAATATGCTGCTGTTGCTCCTCCAATAATGGTTTCCCAAACTTTCCAAGAATACCCACACATTCTAAATACTAATGACTCTCCCGTTGGCCATAAAGGTTGTACTTTTGTCTATAATTTATCTAGGGAGGCCATGGCGGTGGGTTGCTGTGGATAGCCCTACCGAGCATTAGTTAAGGTAAGCGTTAGTTAGTCCAGACATCTCAGTTATTAAAAAAACTAACTGAAGTGTCCGAACCAGTTTATGCACACCTCTACTAATCTTTCGAAGAGATTAGCGTAACAATCCATCACCACGACCCTTTACTTAAATCCCTGGGGGAGACTAATACAAACCCACTGTCATGGCCCTTTACTTAAATCATGGATGCTCAGATGAGGAATCAAACCTAAGACTGTGCGTCTACCCACATTATCCCCAATTTACCCTAACCATTTAGGTTACCCACGTAAGGGTCTAAGTACTGATGATGGTTTTACCAAATTAGACATCAATTAATTCTTGAACCACGTTCAATATTAGATTCCTTTGCCTCATCTGGTAAACAATATTTACTTTATTATTTATTATTTTGTACATATTATAAAAGAAAATTATTCTTTTATCTTAAACACTTTAAGCAAGATTAAGTATTTATTGTATGATGCAAACACAACAAAGGTGGACTGAATCCAAGCTTTGTTGAAACACAAAGATAGTATTGTTGTAATTGACTTCGATTTTCTTCAAGGAGCTCTTTTACATCGTCCGTTACTTTTTATATTTGTTTCGGCTGATGAATCATAAATAAAAAATGATCCTTTTTTTCTAAGAGTCTTTTTTTTTCTTTTAGTTTAGAACAATGCAATGTTTTGAATGTAATTAGACCAAAAAAGCAACACACACAATCTGAGAAAATTCCACATGAATATATTCAGAAAGAACACCAACAACGGCAAAAGCACTCATTATTTCAATGAATCATTTCTTTGGGCAAAAGAAGATTATTTAATTTCTTGTTGGATCAAGATTATATTAATAGATATATTTTATTGAACCCATTTTCCTAACGCTTTATGCGTGGTTAAATCTAACAAGGAATTGGAGGTTGCATGAAAAAGATATAATTTCCTCAAACAATAGTGACATTTCTACAATCTCTATGCGGCCTCTCATCTAACTCTTTTAACACATTTTTTTTGTGAAAATCTTATGGGATTTTCACATAACAAAGGACAATGTGGTACACAAAAATGTGAAGGAAATAAATAGAAAGAAACTTCCCTTTTACAAGTCCGGTTAGGTTGGAGTTAGAAAACACGCCGACCACCTTTACCAACAAAGAGAATTATTGGCCTCTTATTCTATTTACTAATTTATAATTCATGTGTTTTCCATGAACGGCCCACTTATTATTATTATTATTATTTTTTTAATTTTCTTTTATTATCCGGGTAAGGTTACACACATTTCAACTAATCCCATGAGATCATGAAACTATCGATCGGAAAAGAGCTCTAATGACTATCCTTATTAATAATCGAAGAGAGACTCAAATTCAGAACATCTTGAATAATGCATCTAAAAGTCCTTATCGAACCACTCAATCACCTAGAATTAGTTAAGAGCTCTCCATGATCGGCCCACTTATGTTTTCAAGTTCCAAGGAGGAAGACAAAAGTTATAGCTTGAGAGAGTTGAGAAAATTGTTGTGTAAAATGGACAAGCAAAATTATCGTTGGAGGATTTATTAATAGTCTATGAAAACCCCACCAACGTCGCTAATTTAAGAAATAAAAATTATAGAATAAAGGTTGGGTAAATGATTTTTTTTTTTTTTTCTGATTGTGAATCTTTAATGATCTTCAGGAGTCTTGATTGGTCAACAGAAAGTGCTTGGATTGAGAGAAAATTAAAGAATGCTTGTGACAGTCTAGAAAAAAATTCTAATATTCATTGTTAAGTTTATTCAAATAAATCCCTGCTCCAATCTATATTTTAAAGTAGTTCCTATATTAACTTTTAAAATTGTTACAAAATTGGCTTTAATAATGATTTCACAAAAAAGAAAAACATATTTTTTTTATTTAATTGTTTTATTTTATAAAATTTAGAAATATCCTAACTAGTATCACAACTTTGTAACTAACTTTCCTTCGTTTTATTTAATTATTTCTTATAATTCAGAAATATTCGATCCTATGAGCAAGTTCGAGTTCAAAATTGAATACTCATCAAGTGTCAAACCTGTGATCCTTAGGAAACGGAAAAAAACAGTCTTTGACCATTTAAGTGTCTATAGAAGACTCTAACTAATCCAAATGTCCAACCATCTGGTTCAATAAAGATTGACTTACATATCAATTTTACAAATTTTTTTTCACAATCTCAATGTAACAGCTCACAATTGGGTAGATGAGACCCATTATAATCTATTACGATCTAATTAATTACGAACTGTCATGTTAGAATTGTGAAAAAAAATTTGTAAAATTGGATTGTAAGTATAATATTGACCCCATCTGGTTAAGCCTCATTGGTAACTAAACTTTCCTTCTTAATGTTGGCCGTAGTGATTTCAACTAAAACAAGAGACATATGCTTTGTGGACCAGCAGCTAAGTGATCTATGAGTTCGGTGATAAACAAAGTTGAGACCAGCGCCAGCCTCATTGCATTGATGATATGGTATATAGCCATGGTAAAAGGGTGTAACTAATGTTATTTCAAGGTGAAGTAGAGGAAAAGTTGGTTAGACTTGGACCATCTTGAGAGCATCATCTCAGAAACAGCCACATGTTCTAAAAGCAGAAGTTATTGAAGCCCAGAATACAATTCCCAGCAGCCCCATCAACTTTCTTCCTTCAAAAATAAACCCTACCCTCATGATTAGTCTTAATAAATCTGTACCTGTAATGGTTCCATTGTTTTAAGAGAGGGCAACCACATTAGAACTGGCATCTGCCACTATTAATGCAATTTATTTCTGAAGTCATTTTGAATTTCTCTGGTGTACTTTGGGTGCACAGGAGTATTTTAGGTCAGCCTAATAGACTTATAAAAGTGGAATCAACTGTATCAACAATCTGCTCTAATCACTTTCTTTCCCCAATGTAGGCCCTCAACATTTGGTTCATTCCTAAGAACCTCAATCGAATTGGCACTCATAGCTAACTCTAGAGAATGAAGGAAGGAAGAGAGCTTTGAGCTTTGCGATAAGCATATACTAAAGAAGGCCATATTTCAGGGCAGTTGAAAGTTTTCCAAAGAACTAAACATTTTCAGTTTGAGTGTCTTCCTAGTTCCTAGTTTCCACAGCTACAGATCAGTTATCTTTCAAAGGACTCATCGTCACCGAAACCTGTCCAGTGTTAAGTAGTGTTGTTCAAAACTGGTTAACCAAAAAATTCGGTAACTGATTTTGAACTGGTTATATATACATAAACATTTCAATATTTTTAATTGCAATACATAAACATATATTCAAGATTGAAGTAAAGAAAATATATTCAAGAGGTAACATTGGAGCCTATCTAATCCTCAAGGCCACAGAATAGTCTACAAGCCTAATGGATCAAGGATTCAAGATAATTGCACAAATGTGGTAGATACCTCTCCTGCGACTCGAACACAAGACCTTCTAGGTATAACTAATCCTAATAGCTAAAGGGTTTATCATCCAACCACAAGTATATTCAAGATTGAGGTAAATAAAATATATTCAAGATTGAAGTAAAGAAATAAAACCTACCAAATTCTTGTATTACTTCCTTCAAACAACTTAGTTAGGGTTTAGAAAGTTTCGGATGATTTTTAGGGATTTTTTAAAAACTGGTTTTAAAAATTAGGTTCGGTTAGCCGGTTTTAAATATCGGACAAACCAGTAACTGAACCGGAAAACCAGTTTTTCAATATTTATGAACCAAAACCGAACCGGTTTTCAAAAAAAAATCTGGTTTTCTGGAAAATAGAAAAAAATTGATATAAAATAATAATAATTAAAAAAAAAACTTGAGGGGTGTTTCTGTTCTTTTCTAAAACTAATGGTCCTTGCGACATTGTAGGAGTTAGCAAGTAATTTTTGAAAGATACAAGCTATCCTACGTTACCGCCTTTTGCTTCTTCTTCGATTTTCACTCGAGCCGAAGTATAGAAGAAAAAGCTTCAACCTTTGAAGTTCTGAATCTTCAAGACAAGATTTTTAGAAATTTTCTCGGCAAAGTTTCATTTTTTTTCTCTGATTTTCCATCCATCCAAACAGCCCCTGACATGGAACAAGATTCCCTTGTTGATGAAAACTTCCCTCGCTTCTCCAAATCCAAAACCAAACCTAAACCCAAACCCATATCCCAAACTACTCAAGAGCAGGACCCTAACTTCACCAATGAACCCCCACAACTTGAAAAGTTTACAGTTTCAACCCCTAATTCTACGGCCGCCGCCGCTACCGCAACCGTCACTTTCGCCGACCTGGGTCTAGCTGATTAGGCCGTTGAGACATGCAAGGAACTGGGTATGCGGCGGCCTACACCGGTCCAGGCCCACTGCATTCCGAAAATTTTGGAGGGCCGCGACGTTCTGGGTCTGGCGCAGACTGGGAGTGGGAAAACGGCGGCATTTGCGCTGCCGATACTGCAGCGGTTGGCGGAGGAGCCGTGCGGGGTGTTGGCGTTGGTGATAACGTCGACGAGGGAGCTGGAGTTTCAGCTAGCTGAGCAGTTTAAGGCTTTGGGTTCTTGCTTGCATTTGAGGTGTGAGGTGGTGGTTGGAGCCAAGGGTTTCATGAATAGACCCCATGTGGTTATTGCTACTCCTGGCAGGATTAAGGTCTTGCTTGAGGAGGATCCTGATATTCCTCAGGTGTTTTCTAGAACCAAGGTACGTGTGCTATCAAGTTTGATGTAGAATTTGGATACTGGTGTTCATGTAATGGTTGCCATTGTAGAAATTGTTGGACATGTAGCTGTTCATTAGTAGTGATTTTTATTGTTGTTATTGTTATTTAACATGATCTGTTGAATTTCAATTTCGTCATTCTGATACAGAGACTGAAAGGCCTAGTAGAGAATTTAGAAGTGGGGGTACGTAGCTGCTGTCCATTGTTTTCACCTAGGGGTTTTGGGAGTTGGGTTTAAGTCAAGAACTGTCAGAGGAATGGTGCATTAAAATTTAAAATCTTCACTTTGATTTTCTCTAGTTTGAAGAAAAGAAGGCCGGAGAATTTCTACAGAGTCTTTGTTTGTGTGTTCTTATTCTACCTAGGTTCTGTATGTGTACCTAGAATGGGTGTAGCATGTCTTCCTTTTGCGATTATTCCGAAAATTACTCATTTGTATTCTTTTATATTGTGTCCAGTTTCTAGTGTTGGATGAAGCAGAGAGTTTTGGATGCTGGCTTTGAAGAGGAGTTAAGAGTAGTTTTTCAGTGCTTGCCAAAGAATAGGTAGACGCTCTTATTTTCTGCAACGATGACTAGTGTCTTACAGGCACTGCTAGAGCTTTCTGCAAACAGGCATACTTCCAGGGTGCTAATAAATTTGGATTCCATAATTTAGAAAACTTAAAGTTCGTAGATTTGATTAAAAACAATGGCTAATTAGGTTGTATGATGTGTTAAATCCTACTTTCTGAAGTCATTTTGAATTTCTCTGGTGTACTTGGGTGCACAGGAGTATTTTAGGCAGCCTAATAGACTTATAAAAGTGGAATCAAATGTATCAACAATCTGCTCTAATCACTTTCTTTCCCCAATGTGGCTAATGGTTCCATTGTTTTAAGAGAGGGCAACCACATTAGAACTGGTATCTGCCACTATTAATGCAATAGTTTTAATTGCAATACATAAATATATCAAGATTGAAGTAAAGAAAATATATTCAAGTTTGTCTAATCCTCAAGGCCACAGAACACCCTACAAGCCCAATGGGCTAAGGTAATTGTACAAATTTGATAGGTATCTCTCATGTGACTCGAACACAAGACCTTCTGAGTATAACTAACTCTAATGGCTAAAGGATTTGTCATTCGACCACAAGAGGAGAGACATATTCAAGATTAAGGTAAAGAAAATATATTCAAGATTGAAGCAAAGAAATAAAACCTACCAAATTCTTGTATTACTTCCTTCAAACAACTTAGTCAGGGTTTAGAATGTTTCAGATGATTTTTAGATTTTTAGGGATTTTTTAAAAACCGGTTTTAAAAACTAGGTTCAGTTAGCCGGTTTTAATTATTGGACAAATCAGTAACTGAACTGGAAAATCAGTTTTTCAATATTTATGAACTGGACCGAGCCGGTTTTGAAAAAAACTGGTTTTTTCGAAGATAAATAAAAATTGATATAACTTAATAATAATTTTAAAAAAAAAACTTGAGGGGTGTCTCTGTTCTTTTCTAAAACAAATGGTCCTTCCGGAATTATAGGGGTTAGCAAGGAGTTTTGAAAGATAGAAGCTATCCTACGTTACCGCCTTTTGCTGCTGCTTCGTTTTTCACTCGAGCCGAAGTATAGAAGAAAAAGATTCAACCTTTGAAGTTTTGAATCTTCAAGACAAGATTTTCAGAAATTTTCTCGGCAAAGTTTCATTTTTTTTCTCTGATTTTCCATCCATCCAAACAGCCCCTGACACGGAACAAGATTCCCTTGTTGATGAAAACCTCCCTCTCTTCTCCAAATCCAAAACCAAACCTAAACCCAAACCCAAATCCAAGACTATTTAAGACTTAAGAGCAAGACACTAACCTCACTAACGAACCCCCACAACTTGAAAAGTTTACAGTTTCAACCCCTAATTCTACTACCGCCGCCGCTACCGCAACCATCACTTTCGCCGACCTGGGTCTAGCCGATTGGGCCGTTGAGACATGCAAAGAACTGGGTATGCGGCGGCCTACACTGGTCCAGGCCCACTGCATTTCGAAAATTTTGGAGGGCCGCGACATTCTAGGTCTGGCGCAGACTGGGAGTGGGAAAACGGCGGCATTTGCGCTTCCAATACTGCAGCGGTTGGCAGAGGAGCCGTGCGGGGTGTTGGCGTTGGTGATAACGTCGACGAGGGAGCTGGCGTTTCAGCTAGCTGAGCAGTTTAAGGCTTTGGGTTCTTGCTTGCATTTGAGGTGTGAGGTGGTGGTTGGAGGCATGGATATGTTGAAGCAAGCCAAGGGTTTAATGAATAGACCCCATGTGGTTATTGCTACTCCTGGCAGGATTAAGGTCTTGCTTGAGGAGGATCCTGATATGCCTCAGGTGTTTTCTAGAACCAAGGTATGTGTGCTATCAAGTTTCATGTAGAATTTGGAGACTGGTGTTCATGTAATGGTTGCCATTGTAGAAATTGGTGGACATGTAGTTGTTCATTAGTAGTGATTTTTATTGGTGTTACTGTTATTCAACATGATCTGTTGAATTTCAATTTCGTCATCCTGATAGAGAGACTGAAAGGCTTAGTAGAGAATTTAGAAGTGGGGCTACGTAGCTGCTGTCCATTGTTTTCACCTAGGGGTTTTGGGAGTTGGGTTTAAGTCGAGAGGTGTCAGAGGAATGCTGCATTAAAATTTAAAATCTTCACTTTGATTTTCTCTTGTTTGAAGAAAAGAAGGCCGGAGAATTTCTACAGTCTTTGTTTGTGTGTTCTTATTCTACCTAGGTTCTGTATGTGTTCCTGGAATGGGTGTAGCATGTCTTCCTTTTGCGATTATTCCGAAAATTACTCATTTGTATTCTTTTATATTATGTCCAGTTTCTGGTTTTGGATGAAGCAGATAGAGTTTTGTATGCTGGCTTTGAAGAGGAGTTAAAGAGTAGTTTTTCAGTGCTTACCAAAGAATAGGTAGACGCTCTTATTTTCTGCAGCGATGACTAGTGTCTTACAGGCACTGCTAGAGCTTTCTGCAAACAAGGCATACTTCTAGGGTGTTAATAAATTTGGATTCCATAATTTAGAAAACTTAAAGTTCGTAGATTTGATTAAAAACAATGGCTANACTTTTTTATTCTAAAAGCACATGGTAGGGCCATCACTTTTTCTAGAATTAGGTGAAGGCTTAGGCCATGCATCGAAATTTTAGATACTGTAGGTCCCTTTATAATATTTAAGAATCATTATTTTAAATTACATTTTATTTATTTAAATTTGATTTATTGTAGAAAATTATTTATGAGATCATTAATTAGTTTTTTTTATTAGAAATTAAAATATTAAAATGTTGCTTAGTTGTTGAACTGATTAAGACAGCTTAACATACAATATTAATAACTGTTACATGAAATATTAAAATGCCAATATATAATAAAGAAATTAAAAATTAAATCATGTCAAATTAAAAGTACTATAATTTTGACCTTGACATTCCTACATATTATTTTATTTAAATAAAATTTGACCCTATTGAAAATAAGTTAAAATTGTATACAAAATAAGTTAATCATTCTCTTCATACCTTGCAAATAATATTCCTTGTTATATATTTAATTATTTTTATTTTTTTTAATAAAACAACACACCAGAATTGAGTTGGGTTGTGGCAATATGTAAGAGTGTGTTTAAGCAGTGGATGATATGAAAATAATTAAAAAAGAATAATTGGGTTGTTAGAAGGAATATTATTTAATTTATTAAAGAAATTGGGAACAACAAAAGCGACAAACACAACAGCAAGTGTTGTTGTCTGAATTACAGATCAAACTAAAATATTTATTGTCAAAAGAATCCTTCATTGATAAAGATACCAGCATTTCTCCTACTTTCTGGTCAACCAAACTCTGTTTTTATTGGACACTTCCTCTTGTCAACCATCTTTCGGATGTAGCCATGAGTGGACTCATACCTTAACCTTAGACTTTGTAGAAGCAAACCATGAGTCCAATTACTGTGCTAACCTCTTATGGATAATGTTTATTTTACATTAAAACCCCTGAAAAATCAAAAGTGTATCAGTTTGAACTTTAGTCAGATACTTGGGGTAAACAGAAATTTGCCATTAACTAGATAGGAGATGTATGTAATGGGGTGATTTTGACTTAAAATACAAATACAAGATCTTCTAGTGTGGGATTTGTGTTTGACTTAAGAGTGTATAAGGACGTTTTAGGATTCCCTCTTTTCGCATTGGATTCCACTTTATACATTTGAGATTTATTCAACTTGTTAATTTCCACACCAAAAATAAAAACGATTCCTTATCAGCTGAATCGTTCAAGAATAATCCAATTATGGAGGCTCTATCAAACTCTTAATTGAAGAATCCAAGTATTCCAGATGATGTGTTTTTCGTTGCTCTAATGAATATATAAACATATAAAGCCTTTGTCGACTTTCACATCACAGAAATTACCCTAAAATTCTTGTGCAATTCTATGGTATTGAAAATTTTAAATGATGATATGATAATGTCAAATTCAATGATGTGAATTTTGGATAGTGCAACAATGCTATACGGCTCAAACATTAGACAAACACTTGCGGCCCTCTTCATTTGTAAAATTCAAAGTCAGTGTCAGGTTTCTTCACATTGGTTCCATAACCCTTTTCAAAGTCCTTTGGGTTGGGAGTCCTATGACGTACCGGTTCTTGCGTACTGCAATGCATTCCAGCTTCTTGACAGATAGCTGCGATCTGTAGTAGTCGAAAATTGGTTAATTATGAATGTATTTGATATCGTGATCATATTCTAAAAACATAAAATGAACCTAATGAGCTAGAGCCCAATCCTGTCCCCACCTACTAACTCTTCATCAACTGTTTCATCCCTTCTGGTTTTTCAAAGATTTACCAACCAGCCAGGTTAAAACATATGTACGTCAATCGTCTCAAAACAAATTATTATTCTCGATTCTAACAAAAGAAATTAAAAAATAAAATAAAATAAAAAGCAACAAGATCAATGGTTCCACAGCAAGTATACTGGCTCTTAAAACATCTGTTGTGAACACTTTTTGTATCAAAATCACAGCTTTAGCTAAAGTCGTTATGGTGGTTATCTCTGCAATGTCAAACACTTGGACATGGTAAAAAGGAGGTACATACCCTTATTCTGGTTAATTGCTTCTTATAGGAAAACCAAGTAATTCTCGTAAAAGGAGTAGGAGTGAACGTCGTAACATAAGAGCAATTCCTGCTTGCTTAAAGTAGTAGTGGTTAGAAATACCCTGTGACTACCTAACACCAAAGCTTTTGAAGATAAAGAGAAGGTTTAAGTGGCTCTCGGTAGGGGTAGATCAAAATGGTTCTGTTATATGACATTGAAGAAAAGAAATATGCAAAAAGCTAGAAAAATTTTCCTGCTAGATAGGAGTTGTTGACGTCTGATTTTGACACCAACTACTCGCATGTGTAAAATGCTAAAATGACTTAGAAGTCACACGTGATATGAGAGGATTGAATCAAATAAAAGGTAAAGAGCAATATCTAAAGTGGTTCAGATGCTCGCAAGCGAATCCTACGTCCACTGCTATTGCATTAATAAGAGAGAGTGATCAGGTCGCGTTTAGTGAGCCGAGTTACAGTTTAGAGAGAGAGAGAGATAGCTATTTCAGCGTAAAATTAGCTAATCTCCCCCCCCCCCCCCCCCCCAAAAAAAAAAAAAAAAAAAAAAACCAAATGAGAGGGAAGTCCTCTATTATAGTGGAAAGTTCAAGATAATGATATAAAGCTGCAAGTGGGTATTGCCGTGCAAATACTTTCTTTTCGTCCCATTGATCACTTGCCCGAGGATTTCTCAATTAAAGCAGGACTTTGACACGTGGCGATCTTCAGCCTCTTGTGGCTTGACACTCATCTGCTGCACTTGTTGAGTAGGTGCCCTGAGCCACAATTATTGTGGAATTGACTCTTTGTAATAATGTTCATTAATCAATAAAATGCATTTTATACTATATCGCATAAATCATTATTATTGCAATATGTATTGATATATGTCTTTAGAATGGTAGAACTGTGACGAGGGTATCAAGTGTTTCAAATCTTGATAGTGAGAACCCTATGACACTATGTTGGTCATTCAAAACGTCCGTAGCCCTAGTATTATTCTGAAGTAAGGGCATAGATAATACGGTAGGCTATCATAGTGTTGAACGACCTTGTCAAAAGGTAGTGACTGATCTCACTTGTCAAGGTGGTTTGGTGACAACCTAGTGCAACACATGGGTGCTTGCTGTAGGCGATTACACCGCAGCAAGTTCACTAGACTGACCCCAAAGGATTTCATATGGATGGTAACCCCAGTGTCTATGGAACAAATCCTCTAACGAATGGTGGTGCATGTGATCCTTAGACTTGAGATCACCGGACCGCCTTGTGCACCGATTGGTGTGTTTGACACTAGCCTAACGCAGTTCTTTTCAGAGCTGTCAATACGGTGGTGATTGGCTGCATCAAGGAGTGTATCAAGACTATGGTGGATTGACAGAGGATTTATCACTCCCGGGTACGGGAGAAAGTTATCTCACGGCGCAATTCAGTATATGGCAATGACACTAAAACTGTGGCCACAGTGGGATTGAGTTGTTGCTCTATCCAGTTTATAATACGGGTCATTGGTCCAGAAACTGAATATATAATATCGAGAGTAACCGAAGGTTGACACTATTTCTATGCCTTCGTCTCGTCGAGATAACGTATGATGAAAGGATCGAATTGCACGGTAACCATATCGTTGACATGTAGCTACTTTGCTGAATCCGAATCTATCGGGTGGCCATGATGCCTTGCTAGGGGCCAATCTTGGTCTGTGTATTAGTGAGATGATTAATTGGTGTTAATCACGATACTATACACTGCCGGTATGATGAGGAGCCTATGGGTCACACACATAGAAGATAATTTAAGATCCAAGAATAAGGAAGGGCGTTTTCGTCTTTTTAAAGCGAAAGGGTATTTTGGTAATTTCACAGTGCAATTAAATTTGCTGAGGTCATAGCCTTTATTTAATTTATTAGAAAAATTAAATAAGTGAAATTACGTTTAAATATGTGTTCGCATATATTTAATTAAATCATCATTATTGTTAAATGTTAATATATAGATAAAATATATATTAATTGAGTTTAATTGAGATAATGATGAATAAATAAAATATTTAATTTGGGAGTGTTTGGCAATATGGGGTGTTTGGGTTGGAGCCCAAGCCTATTCCATATGGGAATAGGGCAACTTGATTCACTATAAAAGAAAATGTGTGTTTATTAAATAAAAGAACTTTTTTTCTTTGAAAAAAAAAACACAGCAGCCCCTTTTGATAAACACTCCCACGGCAGAAACACTTTTGCCTAAAAAATCAATTCAATTGATTTGCTTTCTTCTTAATCTTAAGGCCAAAGAGGATCTAGCAAATCCCTTTTTGGTTCTTTTGAGATTGTCTTCGTGTGGACTACGTGGGCTCGATCCTACACTTGGATCGGTAGCAAAATATTCGTTGACAAATTTGGAGGAGCCTCCAACGTGCGTATGTTTCTCTTAACTCATGATTAATATTTCTGCAGATTCTTATTATGATAAAATTGTAAAATTATACCCTTGATCTTGGCTCATGTAAACGATCTCTATATTATTTTTGTTTCGTTTCCGCTGCGTATATGAGACCGTTTACTAACAGCACTTACAGGAGCCATGCCACTTGCGCTAGGCGCGATGTGGCCGCACCTGGACGGCGCAAAACCCTTCTGAATTCTGACCATCCTTTACTGACGAGGCTCCACGTCAGCCCTACTTTTTTCGGCATAACAAAAGTCCCCCAGTTTTTAAGGTTTAAGGATTGAACCTTGAGAACTTCATAATTATGCCATGATTTGACATATCCAAATGACGGCTAGTCAAGCCGACCTGGTTACAATGAGGCCGCAAAACATTTTTTTTTTTTTTTTTACGAGCGACCTGAGATGGTCTTCTTCCGCGAAGTCAACGACCTGGAATAGACCCTATTCAGTGCCGTATCAATGCACCTCTTATCTTAATCGAGGTCCGCGACGTGATTACACTTGGCATATTTCTGTTGGAGGCAAGGAATCACATCACTTTGCAACCGACATGCGACAAAGAGTGTTCTTTTCCACTGACCTCTTCAGATGTTATCCGTTGCGCTTGATAGCTAATCCATTAATGAAGTATCCTTTATTCTGACAAATGTGTCATGTGCGTAATAAGTGCCAGCCATGCGCATTAAATGCAAGCTATGCTGAAACGTCATTCCTTATCAGGGCATTAAATGCGGATGATAGTGTATTTAATATGGAGGAGAGAATCGAGACGTCGCTCGATTATTTCAACGGAGAGACGCGAGATTGAATTTTTTGAAGCGTAGCAGTTACTCTTTCTTGCCGATTGACGACACATGGTCACGATCAATGACAAGAGACACATTCCGCCCAAATGTCACTTGGGTTCGGGAAGACCAATTGTCGTTTCCTTCACTATAAAACCCCAGGCTCGCCTTAAGCAATGTCACAACACTTATACTTTCAGAAAAAGCAAAAAGCTCTCACGAGACCAGATTTTCAATCCTTCAAGTTGGTGCGCTCTTTCCGTTAACAGTAGAAAGCTCGACCCCCACAACCAAAAAGGTAAGGAAGATCCTTCCATTACTTTCCTTTTTCTCTAACGCACTGTAGTGCGCACGGTATGGGCTTTCGTCCTTTTACGCTCTTTCATGCGACTTGCAGGTGTTTTTGGCAGTGGCACTGCCTCATTGGATTTGGGTGGCATGACCTGATCCAATCGGTTTAGCCTTTGGCGAACTGTTTGAAGAGTATTATTAAACCTCTCTAGGTAACTCATGACGGCTGGATCGAGCCGCGAGCTTGAAGGAATATCCCCTGTGATATTCTGTTGGACTGGCGACATTTTGGGAGAAGTGTCCTCTTGGATCTGGGGGATTTCTTCATTGCCATGATTGGTTCACTCAGATTTGAAACCGCGAGCCATTTGCTGTTGTGGGATCGATTAGTGAAAGATTTTTCTGATGAAGAGTAGGTACTAAATCAGACCCTCCTTCTAGCCCCAAACTGTTGATGCTTGATTTTGACAGCAACTACTCGCACATGTAAAATGCTAAAATGACTTAGAAATCACACGTGATATGAAGAGATTGAATCAAATAAAAGGTAAAGAGCAATATTTAAAGTGGTTTGGATGCTTGCAAGCGAATCCTACGTCCACTGCTATTGTATTAATAAGAGAGAGTGACCAGGTCGCATTCAGCGAGCTAAATTACAGTTTAGAGAGAGAGAGAGAAAGAGAGAGAGCTATTTCAACGTAAAATTAACCAATCTCCCCAAATGAGAGAAAAGACCTCTATTTATAATGGGAAAGTTCAAGATAATGATTATGAAAACTGCAAGTGGGTAGGTTTGCGTCCCATTGATCACCTGTTCGAGGGATTTTCTTGATTAAAGCAGGATTTTGACATGTGGGCGATCTTCAGCCGCTTGCTGGCTTGACACTCACCTATTGCACTGACAGGAGCCATGCCACTTGCGCTAGGCATGACGTGACCACACCTAGATGGTGTAGAACTCTTCTAAATTTTGACTATCCTTTAGTGTCGAGGCTCTCAGTCTTACTTTTTCTGGGATAACAGGAGTCAACTGCAATCGTAACAGAAGTTACTTTCCATAGCATAATGAGCTTCTATAAAGAAAATTGAAACCAACTGACGTCTGAAGCACTGATTTTGTCAGGTCGAGAAACAAAATCCTCCAAGTCCACCTTATCACCTAGGTTCATTTTAGCAGTGCAAACCTGGCAGACACCCACCCATCATAAAGTAGATTAGACGTATAATGCATAACAGACAACACGGGCAAGGAAAATTAATCCTCACAACAGAATAAAGAGCGACAAAAATAATCACTAACCATAAAACTTTACAGATGGGGGTGTGCACTCCACCAACCTGAAAAACGAGCCTCTTTTGTCGTCTGTCCGACAAAGGGAACTCAATTTTTCTATCAAGCCTCCCAAGACGTAAGAGTGCAGGGTCCAAAGTGTCGGCTCGAGTGGTGGCCATAATAGGTAATAACCTTAACGTTAAGTCGTTAACTGTCTGTCGAACCCTTTAAAGTAATTTTCAAGCTTCCCTTTTATAGATAGAAGTTGAACATGTATATTTTTAAGATTTGAATTGATTTAGAAATTTTTTTTTTTCCTTTTTTTTGGGATAACCGGAGTGTTTAAACTAGCTTACATACACTTTAATTAATTTTTAAGATCTATTGAATACCTTACAAGTCCAATGAATCAGATAAGTCACAATGTGGTAGTTGACCTCAATGTTTAAATCCAAAAACTTAAAAAAAAAAAAAGAATAAACTTCCTTAACCGTCAAACCAACTCTTTGGGATTAATTGATTTTGAAAGTTGCCTGATCATTAATTTATATGGTAGGTTCTCAAAAATTTATGGAAAGTTTAGACACTCTTTATTACTTCTAAATTAATGAAACAAAAATTATAAACATATATATTTTTCCCAGATAATGAAAACAAATATTAAAATTTTACAATGGCAAAAGAAAATAATGCCTATTAAAATATTGAAAACATATAAAATCTTTGCTTGATTATCTATCAACACTTCATCATTTCAATTACAATTATATTCTAACAAATTTCCTTGATTTTATACCAAAATTATATTATTTCCTTTTATTTTTAAATATTTTTTTAACCAAATTAAATATTTGTTTATTATGCTAATATTGTGTTAAATTATTTCCTTAATTATCTCAATTACAGTTGTAATCTATTAAATTATTTCCTAGGTATTCTACAATAATTACATTACTTTCTCAGATCATGGTTTAAAAAAAACATTTGATAATTCGGTTTAGGCATTTAATGGCTTATATGATTTTGACATTGAAAGTGAGCTCCCTTTGGTTGGTTATATAGAATAACATTCTATGCTATTTAGCATTTTTGAAAAATAGGATAGGATTCTGAAAAAAAAAAATTTGTACATTTCTCAACAATAACATTTTCTGAAAATATTTAGATTATTTTAACCTCTTAGGTTGTTAATTTAACTAAACACCCATAACAATAAAAAATTATAATTTGACAAAAACACCCCCCACCCACCCACCCACCCACCCACCCACGTATTACCGACAGCCGGCCACCATCGCGGGAAGGAGGTCAGAATCTGTCGGAATGGTGCACGATCAACTGGCTCTGGTCGGTCGTGCGCCGATTTGGCCTTTTCCGACTAGATCCACGGTGGATTTGGCTGGAAAATGTTAGATCTACGACCATGGATCTGACCATTGACGGCCAAACAATGACTAAGATGTGGTAGTTGTCAACGGCCAAATGTGACAGTCATAGGTCATATCTACGATGGATCTGGTCGAGAAAGGCTAAATCAACGCACGACCAACTAGATCTAGCCGGTCATGTGCCATTCTGACAGATTTCGGCCACCTTCCGACAGTAGTGGCCGGTTGCCAAAAATACGTGGGTAGGTGGGGGTGTTTTTGTCAATTTATAAATTTTTATTATTGGAGGTGTTTAGTTAAATTAACAAACCTAGAGGGTTAAAAATAATATTTTGAATTGAATAGAATATGATTGGATTTTGAGAATATTAAAACAAATGTATTTTTTTGTTTTTAGGATAGGATAGTAGAATATAATAGAATAGTAAAAGTGTGCCAAATGGACCCAATATAATATTATTGAATAATATATATATTGTTCAAAAAATTATTTATTTTGAATTCTGGGTACGAAATCTGGGTCTAGGTATATGAACCCGGGTTTTTGCCCAGCCTAGTAACTATATCAAACTTGATACAGAAATCCAGAAATTAACATGAAAGCTAACAAACTTGCAAGTATAATACAATATAATTTTTCATAAAAAAGATAAAATGTGCACGAAATGAGCATAAAATATGCACAACATAATTTAGTGTTTCTCTTTACTTTATAATATGTAATAAAATGAATTATTCGATATCTTTATTTAAGAATCAATTTAATCATATAATAATAAAGAAGATTTCATTATATCAAAGTATCACCGTAATTAATTAGTAAGATTATTGTGACTCATCACTAACAGTTAATTATATATTTATAGTATGTTGTCTTAACTTTCAAATATTATTCCATGTTACAAGTTTCTTGTATCGGTTTGTTAATTCCAAAAATTATTAGCCTTGTTGATACGAAAACTCGTAACAACTCAAGATACTCAATTGACCTTGACAGGATTGAGCAAGATGCGAGTGTGATATCTAAGGATCAACAAGAAATTGATTTGAATAAGCAAACAAAAGCGAAAGACAAATTTTAAAGTGGTATGGCGTGTTCAATCAAGTCTATGTCGACCGTTCTTTTATTAATTTTTGCCTTACTCTCTCTCTCTCTCTTTAATTTTGCTAACACCGTAAAATGATTTGTTTGTGGTATTTATACAATAAGATGATAACGGTTACAACAGTAAAGTTCGGGATAATGACTTGATTTTAGGGAATCAATCCCATGATCCTTGGTGAGATTGACAGATGTATAGGCGAAAAATCACACTGGACCCCTAACAGTCTAGTAACATTGTAATCATTATACAACCTAGTATCTTGACCCAACTATTGTTGGCCCACATCGCCAATATGGCCCTTGGTTCAACCTCGGTTGTTCTGGCAAAACAATCGTGACCTGAATTCGATGGGTCTTGCATTGAAGTCTTTTCTAGGAAGGTTACAAGTTGGTACCTTCTACGAGCTTGTCCACACTCCAGAGTTGTGCTATTGTACAAGTCTTTGAGGAATTCGAAGTTAGATGAGCTTGGGACCTTTGGCCAACTCGCCTTGCATGTTAGCCCAACTTGTCAAAGAGATCTAGCTCGCTGAGTGACCTAAATCGTGAAGTCCATGAAATAGCAACTAGACTTCATAAACTCCTAAGTCTACAAAGAGTCTAGCGACCTAAGACTCCTAGTATTAGATGATCTCATACACTTAACTAGTCCTAAAGTCTTATGCAAACTCCAAACGTCCACGGACTATAAGTCCCATCATGATCCTCATACATCCTGGTAGTTTTTGAGTCTTAGAAATGGCTTTCTTCCTTAAACATTCTGGTTTCATATAAACTAGAATTCCTAAATGGATAAGCCATAGAACTCATAGTTCTACTAAGACTAAAACCTTCATGGCTTGTTATAAAAGCAGAGGCCAGCCTTCTCCATTCTATATATGTTTTTACACACTTATCAGTCTAGAATCCAAGCATTCTAATGCAAGTGTGTCATAATTCCCCCTTTGAGCCGTTTTTTGCTGTAGAACTGCATTTCGACTACTCTACGATAAAAATAGTTTGCCTAGCGTTGAAACACGGTAACTTATCTTACCATTACTTCAGCTCAGTTTTTTGTCACAATCTTGCTAACTTGAGCGTCGGAGTACCTATTGCAGACACCACATTGATGTCCCTTGAGTGCTTCACATTCGTTTTCATGTCTCTCTGCAGGAATTCATGATTTTTAGTGGCTCAATGTCCTGGTGATATTTCTAGGTAGATTTTATCATCTACAACATACCAAAATTGTAGGGAGAGTTGTCATGATCTTCTCCTTGATTTTAGGGGATAACGCTTATATTTAGAGATAAAATTTATCCATGTTCTGTAAGATAACTGCCAAACAGCTCGCTTCACCATGAACATAGCTCATTTCAATCTAATCGCAGCTCCTTTCAATTTGGTTATGGCTTCACAAGTTACGCCGAGCTACTGCCTGCTCTAAGCTGGTCGCACATCCTCACACAACATTTGCTCCCCAGTTTTTAGAGGTTGTGTCGAACTTCAAAAACTATGAGCCTTTTTGGATGAGCTATCAATGTGCAAGTTGCTGCCAAACTAAATTGGTTTGTGAATCGGGTCCAATCAAACATATTCGAGTTCTAGATAGAGCTTGCTCTTAGTGTCCTTTTTGATGACGAACCAGTGTGTTAGTACGAGTTGTTACTTTGCAACATGTATGCTTATCTAACGAGGTACCAAAAACTTGAAAGAATTTGGCGTTATTGGTTTCTTTTGAAAAAGGACATAAGGCCAAGATGACATTTCAACTTGGGATGTGAAGGGTAACATCCATGCATTTAATGTAGCCGTAGGCAAACAATCACGCTGAACAGTCAGGCTAACGTTTTGCTTTTCAAAATGGCAATTACATGCGATCATCACCACGTGGCAAGAATGGACAGCCAAGATCGTTTTGTGCTCAGGTTTCCTTTCTATGAAAGGTACCTAACCCTAGGCTTAAACCTTTTCAAATCCTTTCTTTTGCAAATCCAAACATACTGTTCTTCAAAACCAAATGTTTTCTACCTCAAACTTCAATTTCACAATGATTTTTCGATGGTTTCTCGACTTTTAATTTACAGTAAGTTTTTGTTTCCCTTGCTTTCTCCATTCTTGCTCTTGACTTTGCCATTGTGGTTGTGGTTAGGTTGAATATAAACGAAAATATTGAGTTTTTTTTTTCTTCTAGATTTTAAGATTGAAAACTTACTTAGGGTAGCTGGAGATTATTGCCAAAATCTGTCTATTTTGTCAAAGTTCGTGCTCATTGCTAGAGCTCGTCATTGGGTGGTTTGTTCAAAGGCACCCCAGGTACTTGAGATTGAATCAAGTGTAGGTAGATCGATTTTAGGATTAAGACAGCCCGTAACAGTTGTCATTTCATGTTTCATGTTTTGGGCGCTTAACTAATGTGATGTACGATCTTGGCATGGGTTCAAACCGGCATGCTAAACTTGATCATTAGCTCGCTTAGAGCGATCGACTTCCTAGCGCTTTTCTCTCTTGCCCATTGGTTGTTTCCCTAGGTGTCTGCTCGGGTTATTCTGATCTTGATTCTCACACCTCTATGCTCCCTCCACTCTTCGTCGCTGATGGTGGTGCTTGCTAGATGAACTAGAGTCATCGTCAGTGGTTTCAAGCTCCTAGCTTTGTGTTCTAGCGGCAACATTTTGTTGGCTAGGAGTCTAGTTTCCCTGCTGTA